CCCAGTGTGATGCATGAAAAACAGTGGACACAGGAATATGAAAAGCGCGATGATGTTTAATGTTTTACTGATTTATTGATTTAGTCTTACACGGATATATCAGGTATGTGACAGTAATACAATTTTTACAAAACATTTAAATATTTACATGACGTAATAACCATGCATGTACGTACGTACATGTTGGGCAAAATCCCTACAATTTGGGTTTGGGCGCACCCAACCCAAACTCTGGCTAAGTTATATCTTAAATTTTATTAATAATCTTTATTTAAACTTTATTAATAATCTTTATTTAAACAAATCAGATATATACTTATAGCTATATATAATATATTTGCAAAATTTTAAGTTTTTTTTTTTTTTTTGATATAATTTTTTATAAATAGCAATTGTATTTTCGGGGTTTGGAATTTGTCCGGATTTTGCCAACTAATATAACCATACATGCATGTTTTGTCCAGTGTTACGGGGTGGGCTCAGAAAGTACGTACGTACGTACGTATACGGACAAAATCACTGTCACACAAACATACCATAGGTGCATTTGATTTAATGTTTGTGTTTTGGTGTTTTGGTTTTAACGATTTAGTGTGTATTCTAGTGAATTGGTATTTTAACTTTCTAGAGATTTGCGTTCTAGTGGCTTAGGGTTTTGGCGTTTTAATGATCTGGTAATTTGGTGTTTTTAATGATCTATTGTTTTAGTGCTTTGGTGTTGCAAATTATTTTATGAAAGGTTTTATAGTTATAAAATTTTGGTATTCTAATTATTATATAGCTTATTCTAGATAATTAGATATCGGTTCGTGATAAGTATATATTTTAAATATGATTTCTATTTGTACCCGACGGGTATGATACTCGGTATAAAAAAAAATCAAAATTCATTAATATCTCAAAATTTATTAAGGGAACCATATGTAGGTATCTTAAATGTTTAGCATTTAATTTTACATATAAATACATCTCTAATCTATTCTAACTTACCCTAACTTAATATGGTATTGTTTTTTATATTGGATACCATACCTATAGGTATTTTTAGCAAATTTGTATGGTGAAATACAAGTATTCAAGCTCAAAAATACATGTCTGAAATGTGTACCAGGATTGTAATGCTAACGCATTTTTTAAAAAAATTAAAATTCTTATCAAGTTAGGAAGTTAGAAATTAGCACCAATACGTAAAGTCATTCTGGAGTAACTTTTTATTAAAGCACTAAAGTGTTTTTTATGTAAGTTGTTGAAATCTAAGCAATCTTCGACAAAATGAATAGATTTCCTGATTGTGTCATATTATGCCTGACGTTGAAGTCTTATTCGTTGTTCAAGAAATTTGCACCACCAACTAGGCACACATTTTACAACATTATTTACAAAACACGTTATGATTATCATGATGCACCCGTTATTAGCCTATTTTAATCACTATTTTTAGACAAATTGACTAAATCAATAAATCAGTAAAACATTAAACATCATCGCGCTTTTCAAATTCCTGTGTCTACTGATTTTCATGCATCACACTGGGAATCAGAAATCTAGAAAAAATGCCAATACGCGATTGGCTAAACATTATTTTTAACCAATCACAGATTTGCATTTATTCGAGATTTCTGGATTCCAGTGTGATGTATGAATATCAGTGCGCGATAAAACGCTAAAACAAACATTAAAACGCTAAACAAACACTGAATTATATTTCCTTATATATAAATAAATTTTATTTGTGTTTAGCGTTCTAGTGTTTTAGTGTTCTAGTGTTCAAGTATTTTACTGATCTGGTATTTAGTGTTTTAGTATTTTAGTGTTTTAGCATTTTAGCATTTTAGTGTTTTTGTGTTCTAGTAATAATCATATCCTGATCCGTTGGGAATTAGCGGAAACTCGTTTCCGCTTATTCACATACGGTCAGGGGATCTTGATATAGTGATCGGGGGATTATTATTACTAATGTTCTGGTGTTTAGTGTATTAGTGTTCTAGTATTTTAATATTTTAATGTATTTGTACTTTAATAATCTTTAAATGCTAGAAGCTGCAAAATTTTTTTCATCTTTTGAATAAAGATATCTTAACAACAACCGTTAGATTATAAGATATCTTTTCTAATGTTAAAAAAAATTCAACACGGTTTTTATTTTGACAGACATGTTGAATTTTTGAGTAACTTTATATTGAGACGTATAAACATTAAACATTATGTATCTTTTTAAAAGTTAGGCCAGACCAATTTAATTCGGTGGTTTACATTACCCCCTTTTGACCTCTCCCCCTCTCTCTTAGTAAAAAAAAATTTTGGGATATATATATATGCTTTTGGCCGGAGAGCATAATTTCGGGCGGAATTAAGATTGGGATCCGAAAAATGAACGAACATAAAAGACGAGCAAGGTTAGGCCGAAAATTTCCGATTTAAAAAATTTTTATTAAAATTTACTATGTAGTTCAATTTTTTATCCCCCCCCTTTTGAGAGAGGAATGTAATGTAAACCACCAAATTAAGTTGGTCCGGCCTTAATGTATCAACATTATATGAAGTATATTCTTTTTATAGAAATAATGTACAGCGCTGGCGTTAAAGCACAAAATTAAAACACTAAAACTTTAAAATGCTAAAACTTTAAAACACTAAATCACAAAATGTGTCACTTTGTGTACTTATGTTACGTCGTACGTTCATACAGTACATAAGTGTTATAAATATTCATTACACAAATTAACACGTAGATAATACGCATTATACATTTTGCATAAATTACATTACGTTTTTCTTGTTACCATGATATAATTTATGAACCTACATACGCATGTACGTACGTAAGTATGTACGTATGAGCATATCCAGTGTTGTCATGCTCAATGGTACAATGATTTAATTGGAGATTTGATTGGGCATTGGATGATTGATTGAAATTACAAATATTGTTAATGTCAAAAATCACGATTGGACATTGGATTAGACGTCAATCCAAAGATGCCCAAATGTCCAATTTTGTCCAATGTATGTCACTGGGCATATCCATAATTAATATTAACAAATTTGAAATTTGAATATTTATTTGCTTAAATAATATTAATAAAGGCACTAATATTTCAGTTTTATTTTATTTATTTTTTTTTATTAAATATCTAAAAACAGTCGAACCTAATTCCCAAAATTGTTTCGTGAAAACTCTGCATGATTCCTGATAACCGCCAACAAGTAGTCATTGAAGTATTAATTATATTCGGATAGGTAAATATATGCACTTATATGACTCATTCGGATTTTTATAAGAAGAATAATCCGAAAACTCGTGGATTTTAATCTAATTTTGAATTGACTAGTGCACTTACTAATTTAGGTTGACTGATGCATTGTTAATTTAGGTTGATAAGCTTTGTACAAATTTACAAATTTCTAAATTACACCATCGTATTATGTAACCTATAGTTATAGTCGAATTATTGCAATTTACCTAATTTTATGATTTTTTATCTTGTATAACTCTGTAGCGAAGACAAATGGTTTTTGTACAAACAATTATGTACGTAGATCTGGTATAATTTTTAAGTTTCCCAATAATAATAAGTTATAAAAGGCTTATTTGCCATTTGCAAGTCGCCAGATGATTTTGTCATTTTCTATATCATCTAAATATCATTTTAAATACTGGTTCGTAAAAATTAAACTTTCTCTTTTTGAAATTATTCCTTTATCAATTTTAACTATTTTTATTATTTTTAAATGTCTTATGATCACTATCAGATTTACCATGTTACTACCAAAATACTTTGTGATTTCTATATTATTGAATTTGATATTCGAAAATTTGGCGAAAGCAGACGAGATGCATCCTGACCTTTATGAGAGTAAAATTAATTTTATTCTACATTTTTATATCTTTTATATATAACAATTTTTATATTCACATTTGCGAATTTCAATAGGTGATGCGGCTGGATTCCTAAGCGTGATAATTATTCAAATGACCTGCATATTCCTCTCCGTAATTGGAATACTTTACGTGTTTAGTAGAATCTATCATAGGTGGATGTATACTCGTAAATCTTTGCCAATGTCCCTTAGAATTCCCTTTTATTTGGGTATATTTGGTAAGTTTTACTTTATTTTACTTAATATTTCTTTATCACACGTATCCATTTCTTTTAATTATCATTTTTTGATTTTCCTTTACAGACGTTCTTATTATGGGTTTTGAGATTCCTGTCGCTGTAAGTTATATAATTTAACATAAACTGTTAAAGAAAGGTATCGATAAACTGGGTGGTTAGTTTAAGGCCGGGTTCTATCATGTGGCTCAATTATATATCGATATATATATGTTGTGCCTCAGAATTCTTGCCTCAGGTGTCAATCGGCCTAAATTAAGGTTAGAGTTTGGGTAAGAATTAGGTTGTAGTTTAGGCCCATTAATGTCGATCAGTTAATGCCGGCCAAATGATCAACACCTGAGGTGCCTCAGTTATCACCTGAAGCAAAAGTTGATCTGAGGCACAACATATATAAACTATTCAAATCATAAACATATCACGTAAGCGCACCTTGTTTTGGACTTTCCTAAAACCAGCGCCAGGTGATCAAATCTGCGGAATAACCCCTCTAGCTCACCCACAAAATTTTTTCCGGCGCCATTAGATTGAAGGATCAGGTGTAACATGAAAATTACGCCTTTTTGTTTTTTTTACAAAAATCGCCAATAACTCGAAATTTAACCCTAAGATGATATTTATTGCATTAAATCTTTAGCGTATTTGATTGTTTTGATTTTACTGATCTTTCGATCTAATTGGCTAAAAATCACGTGCCGGAAAAAATTTTGTGGGTGAGCTACTATATATCTGCCGGAATGTAGATATCACAAGAATCGCCAATTGTCGGTCATTTGCTACTTCTTTGTCAATTTACTTTTTTGAAACTTACCTTTAATTAAATTAGATATATGTTGCAACATATCGCACCACTTTACCTGAAATTACTTGTAGAGGCATAGTCTTTGCAGCAGGAGCTTTTACAATTTTTCACAGAACATTTGTTGCTTCTGTTTCAGTTGTTACTTATCTTAGGTAATGATAATAATGATAACAATTTGTGAATTTCGTAAACCATTTCCATATTATTTATTATATACTTTTAAAATAATTTTAGAGTATGTTGGAACAAACATGTAGATACTGGTAGATATGATTGGAAATTACTTTTACCTATTTCTATCCCTTCTATTGTTATGTTTGCTCTTGGTTGGGACGCTTTGGGTGCTGCTAAATATTGGTATAAACTATTATTTTTTAACCTCTCATATTATCATTAATATTAAAATTCTAACTTTATTATAGGTGTGACTTAAAACGTGATAACACACTCCTATTAATATTTTCCGTATCAACAACATTCTTAGTGCTCTTTATATGTTTATTCTGTTATCTCAAAATCATTTTTACCATACATGTTGTTAAAAAACAACAATCAACAATTAGTAATTATACGGTTAATAAAAAGATTACTACTTTAAATGAGATCGAAATTAAAGTCATTAAAAAGATTTTGGGTTATGTACTTGTGTTTATATTACAATGGGTAGGTAATATTTCTATTTATATAATCTTCATTTTTTTTACAGTATTAAATGTTTTTTTTTTTAGTTTCCAACAGTACCATATGAATTATGGCAACTTCATGGTGAACCTCCTACTTGGAGTTATTGCATGGTTGCTGTGGGACTTAATATGGGTGTGAGTAAATTCTCTCTCTTTATTAATTTATTCATGTACTCTCTATTCATTTTATTGATTTCTTTTTTGTTTTGATTAGGGCATTGGAAATGCAATATTTTATGTAATAAATGAAGGTTGGAATTGTAATGCTATTAAAAATGAGATTTCTTCTGGCAAAAGCACTGATGATATTGAATCTAATTCGGATGATGAAAGTGGTCATATTAGAATTTCCCCTTCGGTATTAATTGATAATCAAGATATTAAAAATAGTAAAAATAGTAAAATTCAGAATTATTCTAATAATAATTCCTCTAATATTGATAAGTGATGAGATATTTTGATACTTCTTTGTTACCATAGAAATTGTTTCAAATAATTTAAATGTGCAACTGTTTTAATTTATTCCATTCAAGTAATGGTCTAGCACAGCAAGCACGGCGTAGATTAGATAAATTTTTTAAATTATTCTAAATGCTAAAAGCTGTAATATTTCTGTATTTGTAATTAAGATTTATATGTAATTAAGCGATAGTGATAGTCAAAAGGTTTTCTTACTGTATTGTATATAGTTATATTTATTACGTCACAAATGATAAATTCAGCATATGCTAAATACTAAAGTTATTTAATTAATAATTCATATAAGAAGCGTAGGAGAGTCATGTGATAATTTTACTATATAATTATGGCTTTTTACAAAGCTGCATATCCATTAAGATAAATTGATTTTTTATTAAGCAAACTTTATTATATTATAAAATTATAAAAAAGAGGGATTTAATTATAATAAAATGCTGTAGTAAAATTTTATATAAACAAACTATAAGATCGTTTCCTTCAACTGTTCTCTTGTGATTTTCTTCCAGATGACACACTTTCTTTATTGCCTCTAAGTTGCTGTCATCACACTATATTTAGCAAATTTAAAATAAATACTCTTAATATGAGTTGTAAATTTTGTTTGCACAATATAAACGAAATTAGACTACTGCCATAAAAAAGAATGTTTTTTGTTTACACCTTGTAAATTTTGTTAATGCATGTATTTATCTGTAAATTACTTAAAATGCTTAGCAAACTCTTAGTCTGTTATCCCAACAGATCACCTGAATCTAATTCAGGACAGAATGCCTCACACAATGTAAATAGAAGTATGTTAACAAAGTTAAAATAGTTAATATAATTTTTTTTATTTAATTTTTGTGTCTTTCTCTTGTAAAATTTATAATAAGTTTTAATTATAAGACGAACAATTTTGGCGTAATAACAGTCATAATCATGTATTGTACAAGAAATGTAGATTTCAATGGAGTATTTTAATAAATTGAGAATGTCTCATAAATTGGTTGCCGAATTGGTGGTAACTTTCACACCATTCAACTCTTATCAAATTTAATCACTGGCTTATGAGATACCTTATTTTTCATCTCAATATTTTTACAAAACTTGATTGGATTTAGATGATTTTACGCCAAATAATTCTTTTTATACCAGAAACGTAATGAAATCACGAAGTGTATGGTTTATACGGTGTTTCAGGTGACATCGATCCGCAACATCTTGAATTTGATTGGTTAAAGTAGCATTACTTATTCTATTTTCACATGACGTTTCATCACGGCTTATATCCATGTGTATACGATATACAATACAACGAGTGAAGCCGTCGTACTAATCCAGTGTCTTTTAATTTAGTCAATTAGAAATTGCAGTTTTACAGCCCGGTTTCATCAATAATTATACATGCAAGCGATATGATAATTACGACATTACCGATTATTAATGTTTCTATTTTAGTAAATCAACGCTTTTCAATGAAATAAAAGATTATATTTCTGCATTTATAGTTTTTGTATAAATGCACTGTCGGATGACAGTAAAATCGTAAGTGACAACAGTCACAAAGAATTATCACACAGTAAAACCTCCATAAATGAACTCTCTATAAGTGCTCTCTCTCTCTAAATGCACACTCAAATTCGGGCCCAAATATATGCATGGCTTCTATGAATGCACTTTTTTTTATGGTTCTCTAAGTGCACTTGCCCCAAGAGCGTGCTCTTATAGAGGTTTTACTGAATCTGTACATATTACGCACGGGTAGTTTTGAGGTGGTCTGTCGGATGACAGTCAAAAAATTAATTTATACTACAAGAGATTTATTGTCACATTTCATCAATATTCTCAAAATCTACATCATGATGGATATTTGCACAAAAGGGATAATTATATTTCGTCTTTACAAGAATATCTCCTCGATGAGAGACAAAGCCTAATTGGATTGGTATATAGACAATTGCTAATTTTCATCTTAGGTGATATCACTCGGTTGTATAAAAGTCAATCAGAATCTCGTGCAACCAAAGCAAAGCGAAAAAAAGGAAAAAAACTAAAAAGACTTTAATAACTCAAAATCTTGTTATAAAACCATGTTTTGACTTCTAAGCAAAAGTTTTCAGCGCCAAATTTTACGTATATCTTAACCTTCTCACCCTAATCCAAGGCTAACTAACCTAATCCTTAATCTTAAATAATTTTAATTTTAATAAAAATTTTATAATACCGGGTGATGCCGAAAATTAGTTATAATCGGTATAATATAACTAATACTATATATTATATGCCATTATGTTCGGTATAAAAATGATTCGAAATATCGCACATACGCGTCCCTAAATAACGCGCAGAAGCTTAAAATAACGGCAAATGCACGTTATTACGCACTTATACAGTATAGTACTAATCAAATTATAACATTATAACTCGGATTTCATATATGGATCTGTCTCAGGGTGGTAATATAAAACAGTGTAATTAACTAATACAGGATAGATATAACCATCTGGGTATGTGGTTCCACCTAATAATTATAATATATAATTAAATGCTATAAATATAAGGGTGATTATGATTATTATTATTAATTATTTTAACTTACATTCTGTACTCGGTGGTGCTGCACCACCCTCAGCTTCTGTAACAATGAAATAGGTAACGTCTGAAAATGCCCCATTTCCTTTGTTATTCTGTTTATTTTGATATAAATGTTAATCAGAAATAATTAAAGTATTTATATAATAGAATTATGAGAATTACTTTAATCGGAACAAATTCACAACGAAAGTCCTTTGCTGGATTAGGCGATAATGATGTACGAATGCCATCAAGAGTCATAGTCATTGTTGAATTATCATGTTTTGGAATGGCAGATCTAATAGTAATATCACTGTCTAAATTATTATGAAAATGAAATAATATTAAAATCTGAACGTCGTCTCTATTTCTATCTTTGTTATTTTCAATGAATATTCGATTTTTTAATCGAAAATTTTCATTGATATTCGATTACTCAAAATTTATTGAATTCAAAACTGACTATGAAATAACAAAATGCAAAATTTAATTCTGTTCAAGTTTATAATTTGACCAGCATTTTGTCATTGATTAATTCAGAGTATATTAAAAAAAAAAACATTTTATTTGATTATTACTTGCCTCTGAAAGCTACACCTGAATAGGGATAGTGGATCAAATCTTCTTTGTGATTGAAATATACTGTACGAGCTTGATCTAAAAATCAAATAAAATCATAAGCACAAGTCGTGATATATCAAAATAAATATCAAATTAAGTACGATTTTACTTACCAAAGTCCCAATTACCATTAGTACTATTACATTTGTGCCAAATATGTCCACTAGCATATAACCTAAATTTAAAAACATTCCCAGCCGGAATAATGAAATTGCTCGGAATATAGAAGCCATGTGGATACTCTTAATTTATAGTATTAAAAGAGGAGTTTATAGTTATTATATTGTATACTAATGGTTTCAGATTGTGTCATCAATATGATTTACCATAATGTCCGATTGATGTGGGAACTCCATAATGATGCGACATGATACTGGTAAATGAACAACTTATGCTAAGCAAAAAGAATAATTAAGACTGAAAACAATTTTAATTTAATCATCTCGACAAGCATCTTCAATTAAATGTGTTTTATATCTATCTATATGAATTGATGTAAAAAAAAACATAAAAAAAAAAAATAAATAAATGAACAAATATTTATAGAAAAACATTAATAGAGAATTAAGGGTTACGCTTACACTACCTTTCAGTACGATGGCAAGTCTTTTTACAAGTCAAAATATTTTATTGTTTATATATACGTACATGCGTGCCTTTAAAGTACAGAATTACGTCTAAATAAACTATCGCAGAACTAGACGACATCCATAGATAGAATAATATTGACGTAATAAATGGTTCTGGTAGAATTCTCCTACAGCCACTTTGCAGACAATCTCTAGCCAACACTTACTATAAAGCAGGCCAACTCTAACTAAATCGGGCCAAAATTTGTTAGTTGTCTGCAGTGTTGCATAATTTACTGTAAGTTATATGTAAAATGTAAGTTAAATTTTAATCTATGCAAGGTACGACTTAATGTAAATTATGTAAGATTGCATTTGATGCTTAGTTAAAGTAAACAAGTATATCAATCATGACTAAATCGATACTATTAAATAAGTGTTATTAGCCAAAAACCAATTTAATGCGGCATTACTGTATTATTTGCTATGAATAAAAAATATCTATATCTACTGTCAAAAACGATTAAGTACTAAATATTTATACTAATAATTTTGATGCATCAAAAAAAGATACTTAAAACAATAGGCAATGGCGCAGTAAATGGCCAGCATTTGTTATAGCCCTGATATCAATATTACCCCCAAAAAATTATACGTATGCTGATTTTACTATTGATATTGCACAATTCTTTTTAGAAATCAAATCCAGATTATAACAATAAATAAAAATATGTAATTCTTAAATTTGAATATTTATTCAAAAACTGATATTTATTATTATCCGGCAAACTCTTATGATCATGAATTGCCATCTGTCTTGTTATTTTTTTCATGTGTTACGATGTAATCATGT